AAATATATATTGTCTGTCAAAATATCTTATGTATGAAAAATCTTATGTCAGAATCAAGTCTGTCAAAATCTTATGTCAGAAACTCAATTTGTCTGTCAAATCTTATGTCAGAAATAATAAAGTCTGTCAAATCTTATGTCAGAAAAAATAAAGTCTGTCAAATCTTATATCAGAAATAATAAAGTCTGTCAAAATCTTATGTCAGAAAAAATAAAGTCTGTCAAATCTTATGTCAGAAAAAATAAAGTCTGTCAAATCTTATGTCAGAAATTCTTATATGGAATCTGCCGATTGAATATGTCAAGAAAAAGGACGCACACAATGCATGTTGTAAACATAAAATAGGTAGAATATAGTGTTTTAAATTACCTTCATGGTCACAAATGGCTTGTACGTTGATGCTGTGGAACCCCTTTCTGTTAACAAATGCTGGTTCATCAATGCTAGGCCCAGTAATCTTTATGTGGGTCCCATCAATGCATCCAACCACGTTTGGAAACCCAGCCTTTTCATAAAACCCAGCCCTTATTACGTTCTTCCTCTGGTTATCTGGCCACAATATGAACTCGTCCTTCCTGGCAACTAATAACTCCGTCACACGGTCGATCACCCGAGACACAGTTGATTTGTCAAATCCCATTGTGTCCCCAACAACTTGCAAATGAGATCCACTGCCATAAAACCTCAAGGCAATCATAACCTGTTGTTCCACTGAAAGGGCTGTCTCCTTATTTGTCCCACGCTCCAGATCCCCTCTCATTAAATCAGACAAGTACTCAATGGTCTCTCTGCCAAATCTATACCTCTGCCTTAGCTCCTCATCAGAAAATTTCCTTTCAAGAGGGTCAAATCCACGAAAATGTCGCTCTCTCCTTACAATAGGTGGTTGAAACAATACATTGACAGCCATCTTAGATTGAGGTTAATCAACTGATTAAAATTTAATCAACCTCAATGAGGTCGATTAAATATAACGACACTTTGACAATTTTAAACGACTCGTTAAATTTAACGACAAGTTGAACAACATGATAATGGACTGATTAAATTTTTAACGCAGTGATTAGTAAAATTTAACGACTCGTTTAATTTAACGACAAGTTGAACAACAGACCCCTGCAGGTAATTGTATGTTTTTGGAAAAATAATAAAAAAAAAGGCTCCTGGAAAATAATTAAATTAAACTAATGTCCAATAATTTTTCTTTCCTTTTCTAATCTTAACCTGAAACAGAGGACAAAACAAGTGTGTTTCCATTGTCCTGTTAGTAGTTATTTCAAATTTTACATTTTTGTTAATGATAAGTTTTGACTACGGTTTTAATTAGTCTCAGAATCAACGTTGAGATGGTTTATAAAGTATAAAATGGTACGGAATTGGGTACTTGTTACAGTGACTTGACGATGGGTGTTACTGTATAACTTTACCTATAGCTCAAAAAGATTTAAAAATTGACAACACAATAGGGACATTTAAATTGACCAGTTGGTATTTTTAGATTTAAACCTACCTTGATGCTACCTGTACAGTTTTTTATTTACCTATTCTAACCTTACAGCATGCTTTTTTCCTGAAGTTTTTCTTTACCTAGGATTATTCTATTCAAAAATTGATAGAGAAGAAAATATATTTGGTTTTCATTGTTTTAAATCCCCAATATATATGATTTATCTAATTTATACCTAAAATTCTAAATCAGTAAAAGATTAAATTAACTACGTGTTAATATGTTTGAAAATTTAAAATGTTTTTACATAATAAATGCTTCTTTAAAATTTTAACCCTTATACATAGTATTGTCCAGCTGCCTGTGAAACAAGAAATAGCTGTTCAGGTGTTTACAGTTTAAGCTTTCAGATGGATATGCTGTTCATTTCTTCACATGACCCTTCAAGATTTCTATTTTGGATTATTATTTTACAATGTTTGAAATCTATTGGTATCATTGTGCATACAATATTGGATTTATTTTATTTGAATTCACTTCTCAGACTTTTTATAGTAATTTTGCTTCTTAAAATGTGACTTGTTTTTTCCAAGAATGTATTGTCATGAAGGTATCAAGGAGGAAATAATTCATTCAAACTGTTTTGTGGGGTTACATATGATGATGTACATGTAAAATTCGAAATAATTTTGGAGTATACCTTGCATTGTTTTTCTTTGAAATCTACTATAATATTAGTAGGACTTTTGTGCATAAACTGCTGTGTTCACTCAAGGAAATTCAATTTTCATAAGATGGGATTTTAGTTATGTTAAAGATTAAAAAGTTTCAAAACTGGAATTCAAGTAGGAGATATAGTGTGAGTTCAACCAACATGTTTCTGTGGCTTTAAATGTGATTTTGAAAACATGCATTATTAATTTTGGGATCTATTAAAAAGATGATTCACCATTTAAATGGGATCTTGGAAATGAAATAAAATGTTGAATTAATGCAGTGGATATAGTCTAATCTAGTGATAAAGTGCAAAATAAAAGTAAAATATTCCAAAATATTCCTAACGTGAGGATATGTTTTAAGTGAATGTGAAATTGGAAATAATCATTATAAAATTCTGGATCAAATATTGTTTAATTTCGAGATATATCACAGGAAATGAAATAAAAATGTATACTGTAGATATAGTTAAATCAAGTGATATAGTAAAAATATGAATAAGATATTACAAAATATTTGTAAAGTGAGAATAACTATTTTGAATATAATAATGGAAATGATAAAAAAATTACAAGATTCTGAATTATATAAAGATTCTGCACCTGTTTAATTGGGATGTATACCATGGGAAATTAAACAGGATATACTATGGATATAGAAAAAAATCTAGTGACGTAGTGAAAAAAAGTGAGAAAAAAATCCAAAAAGTTAATGAAATTAAGAAAAAATTCAAAATCTTTGGAATTCTGGATGAGATGTCAAATATCAGTGTCAATAAATAAATAAAATTGTTTATTCAACTATGATTTTGATATTTCAATATGCATAAACAATTTGTACAAGGAACATGTCAATAATTATTCATCAAATTATGGAAATAATAAATTTATTAAGTTTTCCACAAGAGCAAAAGCAAATTATATTGAGTTATCTCCCATTAGAAAAGGGCAAAGAGATAAAAAAAAAAGATAGTTTTTTTCAACAATACAAATGAAATAATGTAGCGATCGAAGTGAGTGAAATATAAGGACTTGATTATTCGGGGTACCAAACACTCCTAGTATTTGGCTATGAAAACATAAGATGAAATGGAGTGCATTATAGGCCATGCAATTAAATACCCTGCAAGAAAAGAACATATATTCATTCTTGTTTTGGCTTGATCACTCCTAATATTTTAAATGACAGTAAAATAAAAAAATCTCTTTATTTCCTTCTAAATATTGTTTCTTTGGCAATTGTATGACCAATTACTTCTAGGAATACACTTATTTCAATGATAAAACGATTGTAGTGACAATGTTTATTTCCTTTACTTGTTTAAGGATTCTCTAATAAAAAACATGGGAAAGTGTTTTTATTTTATTAAATCAGAAGTTTTCAACAAATATTTATTAAATCTTTTACTGATTTAGAATTTTAGGTAAAAATTAGATAAATCATATATATTGGGGATTTAAAACAATGAAAACCAAATATATTTTCTTCCCTATCAATTTTTAAAAAGAATAATCCTAGGTAACGAAAAACTTCAGGAAAAAAGCATGCTGTAAGGTTGGAATAGGTAAATAAAAAAATGTACAGGTAGAATCAAGGTAGATTTAAATCTAACAATACCAACTGGTCAATTTAAATGTCCCTATTGTATTGTCAATTTCAAAATCTTTTTGAGCTATAGGTAAAGTTATACAGTGACACCCATAGTCAAGTCACAGTAATTAATATTTGATGGTATATTTAATGAGATGTTTTACAACCACTTGGTCAATACCACTGCTGGTGGAGGTTTCCTTCCCGAGGGTGTTACCAGTCCAGTAGTCAGCACTTTTGTTTTGACATGACATATCATTGCTATGGTCATTCTTATAAATTAAAATTTTACAAAAACTGTTCGAAAAAAAAGGATTTTCTATCCTCAGGAATGCATTACCTTAGCTGTATTTGGCGAACACTTTTCGGAATTTTTGTGTCCCTCATTGGTCTTAAAATTCGTACTTGATTTGGCATTTTAACTTTTTTTTGATTCAATCGTCATTGGTGAGTCTTTTGTAAACGAAACGCGCGTCTGACGTTCAAAACTATAAGCCTTTTATATTTGATGAGTTTTTTTTTACCATTCAAAATGACTTTTTGACAATGTAAGTAGCTGATCATCTCTCTTATTCAAAGACAGAACTAAAAAATATATATATTGGAAATCTGTGTAAGAACAATTATCTTATAAACCTTAATTATCAACTTTTGAGGTAAAAGACCTTCTAGGACAACTGGTTTTTAATAATTTTATATCTGTTTAAAAGTTTGATATAAAATGGGGAAAGTGCACAAAAGAAGTTAGAAAAAATCAGTTTTATCAGAATAAACGAAAGAAAAAAAAATTTGTGTCACGATGTAATACACATTTTTGTATTAGTTGAAGAGAAAGAAAATGGATGTATAAGAGAAATATTGACCCATTCGTTGTCTGTCCTATTGATAATTCATTAACCGCGACGGTTTTTTTTTTAATGAATGCAGCTTCGTCTGCAGAATTTATCTGTATGTTTTAGAATTTTATCAAACAACATTTCCTGTCGTCAGATGTGTCATGGTCACGTTTTATTGTTATTTATCTTGAATTAAAAGAGTCCTAAAAATATGATATCAAAGAGAAGAATTTGTTAAAATTTGTAGCTTCTTGGAAACTTTGATTGCCTTTTTTTTTATTAGGATCACATATCTCCAAATCGAGGTATGCAGACAAAGAAAATACATGTTCTTAATGGGGTTAAAAGATTAATGGTTTGAAACGTATTTACTAATGCAAACTTTGATAATAGTTTAAATTTATAAATACCGTAGTTTTGAGATCTTGTTTGGTTATAAATGATAGAGTCACATTTTTGTCGCATGGAATATTGTTTGTAACAATACTGAGACACATTTGGTCGCTGTTGGCTGTTTCTTCCCAAGGCCTTACACTTATACGGCAACCTTGGATTACACCACCTTGCCATGTTATCACGGCTTCGTCTGACTCATTTCGAAGAAAAACCGCCTTCAACGGGTTTGAGCAATGTGATTTATCTGTCAAACTTCCTGTAAAAATGTAGGATAAATATTTGATGACTTGTATTAAAAAATCAAATAATGATGGGGTTAATGCATAGTAGCATAGAACGCACCAAATTTGAAAATTGTTTTTTATTACATATGAATTAAGTAGAACTTCTGTTACTCTTACACTCGTACGTCTAAAAAAACCTAATATTCATCAATTATGCTTATCCTTAGTTCCACAATAATCATTCTAAAAATAAAAATAAAAAGTAACATGATCAATCATAAATATATTAATAAAAGTAGCTATCCTAATAAATATATAAAAAATAAGAATAATCATAAAAATGTATAATTAGCCTTTGTCTTAGTGAAAGACCTGAATAAATATCATAAAACAAAAAGAAAGGTCAAACATGACAAACTAAACATAAAGTGACCCTAACCATATGTAAGATCATTAGGATACGTTATCCTATCAAAAATGATTTCTTTCAAACTATAGTTTTAGTACGGTAAACAAAACATACTGGTAATATGATCTGAACCTGCAAATTCAGAAGAAAACAACTAGGAACAGGTAACAACTTGAAATAATTATCCTAATATTTCATGATTATTCAATAAGTGAAGAAAAATGAGCTAATTCAACTTCTTAGTCTTTTGAGTTGTTGGTAGAATACATTGAAAGATCAATTTTGAGTCAATTTTTTAAGATCTTGCAGTTCAAGTTGCTACTGGAGTTTTTTTTATGGATGGTGTATCTAGATTTTATGACAAGTTAATAGTCATCTCTCTGTTGTAATTATCAAAACATTTATAGTTTAATCTAAAGTGTCAGTGTAGCTAATAATATCTTGTAGTGCACTTTATGTTTTTTTAACAAACAACTAATGCCAAAAATTTGTTGTGACAAAAGCTGAATATTTTATATACTGATCTGGCAATAAAAAATAAAACAATAAAACAAAGACGACAGTGACTTATTTCTAGAATATAACTTATAAAAGTTAATTTGTACTCATAATCTTTTAATAACCTACACTACTTCATCGAACGCGGCCTCTTCTCTGGTTGGTTTATGAATATTAACGCCGCCTAGCTTCACACTAGTCTAAGATGTGTGTATAATTGTAGAATAATTTTAAAAGTTTGCCCCTCCCAATTTTTCAGTCAACTCCTACGCCACGGCATAGATTAAAGTACCTCGTTGTTAATGACCTTTAAATTTATATAATTATACTTACGGTACTGTTTAAAAGCAAAGTAATTCTCATTCACCAGAACCAAGAAGAAAAACAGCACCGAATACTTTGTAGGCATGATTGATGTTTACCAAATTGCTGGAAACAGTAGCAATGTTATCTTTTATCTAAACGTGAAAATTATTGTATTAGTATATATACTTACGAGGAAAATCTAGGAGTTAAAGTTACCTCCCCTGCAAATACTGAGAAATTAAACTCTAATGTTTTGAACGTTCCCCTTGATGACGCTTTTTATCATTAGTTCACAAGAAAACGTTTAGGTAAATAGTAGCAATTAAGAGAAGAAAAAAAATACCATATACTGCTATCATTTTCTTCTTAATGTATCACACGATGAGGACAACATACTATGGAATGTTTGTGTAATAGGTATGCAATGCTGCTATGGAAATTAATTTCTCACGTACATGTACCAAACTTATTTTATTTTATTTTCAACTGGTTGTTTAATTAATGGAACATGGCAATTCTGTTTATATATTTTAGCAACTAGTTTAAAAAAGTTCAGGACAAAATTTCAACAAAATTATTTGATATGCAGCAAATATAAAATGCTTTTTAATTTAAGTCACTAGGAATACTCAAATGGACATTCTCATGATATAAACATTTAAATAAAGAAGACAGCGCATGTATGTACAAAAATTGAGGCGACCTGTTCTCACAATTCTTAGAAAAATATAAAATTATTCAACGGATAATCATTCTTGTAAAAATAGTTTTCCTTGATTTTGTTTACAAACAAAAATTTTATACCGTTAAATTCGAAAAACTTACCGATTGTAACTATATGTAGATTTTTTTTGAAATTCCACGATGCTAAAGAATAACTCTGAAATTGACAGAGCTTTTGTATATTCGTGATGTTTTCCAATATTTTTTCTTCAATATGCAGCAAAGATAAATATTTTGAAAAATATCAGTATAACGAGCTTCTAGTTCAATTATCATAACACATAATAAAAAAAATCAAACAAAAGGAGTTCGTTTACGTATAGTTCAAATTATATAGTTTCACAGATAATATTTAAAAAAAGTAAACAACATGCTATCATGCGTCTGAAGCGCTCTTCTGGATTTACCTTCATCAGGAACACTCAAAGCCGAATATTTGAAAGCCAAGAATGTATAAGAATCGAAACAGTCAAAGAGCTAGGTTTGTTATAAATCATGTCAATACCGCAGTACTGACTACTGACCTGATGAGACCCTTGGGGACTGAGAGGTATCGACCCAAAATGTACGATTGTGGTTTCTAAATAATTTTTTAATAAGTATGGCTGCCGACATAAACAAGCTAATGATTTGGATACCTTTATCATCAGAAGAGTTACGTTTCTATTGTTCTCGCTTTCTCAGTTTATTCACTGTATGTTGTTGCAGAAGTCTGTCACTTACTTTTTATTGGTCTCTGCACGACTTTTTATTTTCCGATAACAGTGCCTAGAATATCAACCTAACAATGTTAGAGTAGATCTGGTTATTTACTTCCTTCCCGACCGGGTCTGCAACCTGTACTTTTAACTTCTCACTTATATATAAATATATATGCATGACACAAAATGTTCTGTATGAACAGGATACATTGTTAACATATTTACAATATTAATTGTAATTAAAAATTAGATATAACTCAATCTACCAAATTTTAACAATGGCATGCATGGTCTTATCTTTTATATTCAAATACGAAGACTAGTTTAACTATAATTCACTACCTTCATTATGTTTATTTGAATGTTTGGATCTTAAAATTAAAGATTTTCCATCTAATTCTTCTTCTGTAGGATTCTTTGTGTATTTTCGTTTCTTAAATCTCTTTAAAAATATATGAAAATCATTTGGTTTCTCAGAAGTGATTTATTGTATTCTTCAACATTGTTTAACAGCCCAAAAATATTATCCGCAAATTTTTTGTTCTTCCCTGGCCGGTATTCGAACTCATGCTACTGAGATATCGTGGCACCAAATCGCCTTGCACTATGCCCGACGCGCTAGACCACTCGACCACCTAGGCTCGACAAAATTCAAGCTTTCAGTGGCCTGGTGTTACCTTTACTCGTCAGTTTTTATCTAGCGTCGTAACACAGTACATGATATATAAGGCATGAAGATGGAATATTACAGATCAGCTGAATTATCTATCGTAGAATCTTACAAATTAATGAAGGATGCAGTCACAGAAATAATTATATAATATATATATATATATATTGAGAGAAGTGAAAAGTACAGGTTCCAGCCCCAGTTGGGGAGGAAGTAAATAATCAGATCTACTCTAACATTGTTAGGTTGATTTTCTAGGCACTTTATGTAGATATATATATATATACCTTTTGAGTCTAAAATACTAATTATCTTATCTTATCTTTTCGTGTAGTTTCTTTTAGGTCAAAGTGCAAACATCGAAACTAGAATAATGTGATCTTGCTCTGACGGTTACCCCAACACTCAGCATATCGGATCAAGATAAAAAAATGTCTTCTGTTTAAAAATATAAAATGGCAAAAAAAAATGTCGAAACCGTCAAAATGAAGATTAGCTTGTATTTTAGTGATCATGACATTGTGTTAAAATCTTTTAAATGATTCTGAAAAGTCGTACTTTAGAGTCATATTCCGGCGATTTTTATAAGATAGTTAAGGGGAAAGCTCTCGAACGGTAAATGCCAAAGCTGTCAAAATCGAACTTGACCTGTATCTTATAAATCATGACATTCTTTCGAAATTTTAAATAATTTTGTGATGTGGCGCTTACTATAATTATCATCCGGAAACCAAATGTTTAACGGACGGAAGAAGGGCCATCACAATTTATCTTGGACTAAATATTACGATTGCACCAGAATATTTATTTTATTTTTTCATTCGGTTATTATGTTGTGTTAGGTTTTTATGTGTATGCAGATTATCTTCCCTTTTTACATCATTAATATATATTTGGTTATCATTTTTTAAGCTGTTTTTTTATATTTTTTTTTATTTTGTATGTTTTGGTCTGTTTATTTTCTTAAAGATGGTATCGGATTAACAGAATTTGAGCTGGTTGTATAATATGAATTATTATAACAGCTTGACACCAGATACAGCATGATAAATAAGCAATTGTGTTCATATATATCGTGATACACCATAAAGAGACACACACAAAAAATGTGCTTTGTTTGGAAATAATAACACTACAGAACGATCACTGAATTTTAACGAGTCTGGTTAATGTAAACCTAGATGCAGCGTATTGTGATACAGGTATTATCATAGACAATTTGATATCTTCAACAACATTTCATCACAAACCGATTTTTATCTTAAATGATATATGAAACATAAACAATATTTTTAAAGTAAATATACCCTATGTTTAGCATACAAACATTTCAGAGCAAACACCTATAAAATTAAGAAATAATGCGACATTTGATAAACTTTATGTGTTTGAAGCGCTTTTATTAAATAAAACTACACCAGGAACGCTCACAGCCAAATATTTGATAGCCAAGGATGTTTAAGTACCGAAACATGCGAAGAGCTATATGACCAAAAGAAACCTAGAGATAAGAGTCAAATCCATCTAAGGGCAACTTTGCCTGAGCGAGTTGAAACCTACTATAGTTTCTTAATCATTTAGAAATTTAGAAAAGGATCATTTAAGAAAGGAATGATATAAATCATGTAAGTACCAACATACTGACTACTGATCTGATGATACCCTAGGGGACTATAAGTCCACCAGCAGAGGTATCAACCCAGCGTTATAAAAAACATTGGAAATAACACTTTTCTGGATCTTTCTACATCAGGAACGCTCAAAACTGATTATTTGAAAGCGAAGGATATTTAGGTACCGAAATACGTGAAGACCCATATGGCCAAATAGAACCTAATAATGATAGCCAAATCCATCTTAGGTCAACTTCACTCGAGGGATTTGGAACCTTAATTTCTTAATAATTTATAAATTTATAAACCGACAAGTTGCGAGAGTATGTTAAAAATCGTGTAACACTTTGGTGTGATGTATAATTTGATGACATAAATGCTTACAGTCGCCACTTAATAAAACCCGAAACAAAGGAACAGTTCACCGCAAATTCAAGCCCACATCCCACGTCTGGCTTACCTTACATCTTACTGTTTAAGATAAGTAGTTAATTTTTCCATGTTCATTAAAAATAACATAAATGAATGATGCATTGTTAATTTTTAAATTCTATTTTGTATTCTATAATGAATATAATTATACATTAACATGACATAATATTATTAGTTACATAGTGTGCTAGTGACCTAATACGGTATACATGGGGTCAGTAAATTCCATATGGGGTGAGAGCGATTCATCAGATTTAAATTTCCTGTTCAGATTTGTGTCTAAAGTGTTGTAAAGTAGTGTTACGGTGGAAACTTTGTCTACGGTAGTTCTTTATAGTTCGTATCGTCTAATATTTCGGATTCCCCGAGATTTTTTTAAAATGGCTTAAAAACACGTATTAACGAGGTGAGTCAACAAATGCCGCCACATACTTGTTTGCAGTATGAACTGTAAGTGACTCTGTTATATTCGTTGATTTTGATTGTTTATCTCTTTAAAATTAATTTTATTAGTTTTTGTTTACATTATTGAACTAAACAAGACAATATCTTTATTAAAAAGAAACAAACAGGATTATAATTATACAATTCTTCAGTTTTTGCAATAACTGATAAAAGAGGTCTTAAAAAGAGTGGCGGGAGATACCAAAGTGAGATTCAAACACATGACTCGTAAAGAATGATAATAATATCATATAGAAATACAACTATTTCTCCACAAAAATCGATCTTGTATCTAACTGAAATTTTACAATATATAAAGTATATATATTTATATAGTCTACATACCCTTATCACGTTGACGTGAATCCCTCGTTCCTAGTCTAAAGTTATATTTTGCAATTGAGGTGTATCCATTTCAACTTACTGACGAATTGGTTGACTGGTATTTCCTCACTATGTAAGATCACATGTCATTCGTCGTCTTTTTTCGTTTTTTTTTCAAATATTATCTTCATAATACTTGAACCAAATGACATAAATCTTTAAACGACAGACCGATATTAGCATATCTTTGCTATTATTTGTATATTATGGCTCTATTTCAGTTTCAGATACATGATTCTTTATTAGTAGTTATTGACTTTGAACTAGCTTCCAGTAACTGCGAGTACTCTCAGATCTGTATTTTGTGTCTTTTGTGTTTTTGTTAGGTTTTATATGTGATTTGTATAGATCTGTACAGTTTTGCCCTTTTCGACTGATTTTTACAGTAGTTATTCCGTACTGTTACATCACTGATCCAGGTTAAGGGGTGGGGTTACGCCAGAAAACATGTTTAACCCCGCCACATTCTGTATTTTATTTGCATAAACACAAATTGGATGAGAAACAAGTCAAACAGACTTATGAAGTCTTCTCCATTCAACATATTCAACAATGCAATATAGAGCATGCATACATTACATATTATGTCAACATCTGTATAAATTGGACAGAAAAATTTAGTGGCACAAAAGAAGAAGAAAGGAAAAAAATAGATGGATTTGGCTATTAACTCTAGGTCTTTTTGGTCATATAGCTCGTCAACCGTTTCGATATTCATACATCTTTGGTTTTAAATATTCGGCTTTGAGCGTCCCCAATGAAAGCAAATCCAGAAAAGCGCTTGAAATTCATGAATTGTATGAAGTGTTGTTTTTATTTTATCTATCAAGTCTTGAAATGAGAAATAAAACACCATGCAACAGTCAGTGCAACAATTAAGAGCAAAATAAAATAATAGAATACTTCCTTCCTGGCTAGCTCCTCAGATTTCAAAATACAATAAGATACTGGCTACGATTATCCGCAAAAGGTAACAATAATAAATAATTTTTGTTACTTCCGAGACTAATTGCCAACAGGGACCCGATTTCATGTGGGAATTAAAGGTAACAATAATCTCATTTTTTATTGTTACCCGCAAAATTTATTCAGACATGCATTGATCTAAAACAAAAACTTGTTTGATTTGCGAGCAATCAACACAATTAAATTGTGATGTAAAACATTGACAATAATCTGGGACTATTACACCAAGATACATTACTATAAAAATCCTTGATTAAACTAACAATAATAGCTATTATTAAACTACCAGATGACATTGTATTATGATATTGTAATTATTATGTTTATTTATCTTGATCTAATTTGTTTGTTTTGTGTGGCTTTATAGTTGTTTACAAAATAATGTTATAACTGTGCAGTTTAGAAATCACTGGAACAATCATAGATACTGATGGAATGATTAGAACTTTTTATTTGACTTGCATAATGATTCCAGAATGATCATAATCTACGATGTGTAATTTTAACTTCTACTGTATTCTAGAAGTTTCTGTTCTAGAGTTTTCTAGGAGTTTCCCTTCTACAATATTCAAGAGGTTTCCGTAATAGCTATATATACCGAAACCGAAATTGGACGGATCAGACATTAATTTACTTGGATTCTCAGAAGTTCTCTGGAGTTGTTACATTGACAGTTTTATTTACGTTAACTACATCATACTAAATTGGATATATTCCGTACAGTTAAGAAAAGAATTCCGGATAAAGAAAAGACAAAGGATCGGACATATATATTTTGTCCGAGGAGACTTCCGTTGGTGCCTCCGTTTTGTTACAAGGTGTGGAGTTAAGTTGTATAGATTTTCCCCTCCATCGTATTTATTTGAAGTCAGATTTAATTACTGGACCAGTTGTTGTGGGTGTTCGTCCTAATCTCCCTGTTGAGGGTGTTTCATTATTGCTAGGAAATGATCTAGCTAGAAACAAAGTGGTGGCTGAACCAATTGTTACCAGTGAACCAATGATGGATGTTAAGTCACCTGAAGATGATGCTGACCTGTATCCAGATTGTGTTGTTACTAGGGCGATGGCTAGAAAAACAACAAAATGAGGATTTACAAGAAGACCAGTTTGATTACATGGACCTTTCTGACACTTTCCTTGCCGACATTGACGGTTCCTGTGGCTCAAAAAAGGCCATAATAAGACCACCTTATACTAACAAGCATGTAATTATGCCATGGCCAGACGTGAACAGCCATTCATTAGACATAAGAAAGTTTGCAGAAGAGCAACATAAAGATTATGAGGTTCTTCAGCTCCGCAAGAGGGCTCAACCACAGGAGGAAGCAGACAACGTGGCCGAATGTTATTATCATCAAGACGGCATTTTAATGAGGAAGTGGAGGCCACCTGATGCTATCCCAGAGGAGGAATGGAGAGTGGTATACCAAGTGGTGGTGCCTAAAATCTATAGGCAAGAAATTATTGGTCTAGCCCATGACACCCCCTTGGCTGGACACTTAGGTATAAGGAAGACTTGATTTAAGATCTTGCAGCATTTCTACTGGCCTAGACTTAGAAATAATGTCACAGAATACTGCAAATCATGCTAAACATGCCAAGTTGTTGGTAAGCCTAACCAGAAAATACCACATGCACCACTTTTGCCAATTCCAGCCTTTGAAGAACCTTTCAGCAGAGTGCGTTGGACCTTTACCGAAGACCAAGGCTGGAAATGCGTATTTATTGACGATCATGTGTACATCCACTCGCTTTCCTGAGGCTATTACGTTAAGGAATATCAAGACACCAACTGTTGTCAAAGCTCTTATTAAATTCTTCACGCTAGTAGGACTTCCGAAGTCTATTCAGTCCGACCAGGGTTCCAATTTTATGTCAGGTTTATTTCAACAGGTCGTTTACCAGTTAGGGATTGTTCAGTATAGGTCAAGTGCTTATCATCCAGAATCTCAAGGTGCCTTAGAACGTTTTCATCAAAAATTGAAGAACATGATTATAATTTTGTGTGTTCATTTTGACAGGGACAGGGATGATGGTGTTCGCTTTCTACTTTTTGCGGTCCGAGAGGCTGTTCAAGAATCCCTTAGTTTTAGTCCCTTTGAGTTGGTGTTTGGTCATACTGTAAGGGGACCTTTGAAATTGGTGAAGGAAAAATGGCCTACTGAACACACTGACTTGAATCTTCTATACTATGTATCTAGATTTAAAGAAAAATTGCATAATGCTTGTCAAATTGTTCAGAAAAAATTGAAACCTGTTCAGAATAAGATGAAAATATGGTATGATAAAGATGCCAGGGACAGAGTTTTTGAGCCTAGTGATAAGGTACTTATATTTTTGCCAGTCACTGGATATCCTTTACAGGCTAAATACTGTGGTCCTTATACAATAGAGAGTAAAATCAATGATTTGAATTATATTGTAAAAACTCCAGGTCGGCGTAAACAAAATAGAGTGTGTCACATTAATATGTTAAAACAACATTTTGAGCGTACTTATGAAGATGAGAGCAAAACAGTTGCCACTTTAGCCATGGTTAAATTGGAGAACGATCATGACAAACCAGATATAATTGAACCACCTTTTGATTCTAAGACTATGGAGCAAACAGTTAGATTGAAAACTTTGGTATTTTCCTTTAAAAATCTTTTTCCAGTTGTGCCAAACAAAACCACTGCTGTTTGTCATGATGTCGATGTAGGCGATGCATCTCCAATTAAGCAACATCCTTACCGGCTCAATTCACTTAAACTTGAATTTATGAGACAAGAAATTAAATATATGCTTGACAATGATATCATTGAGCCGAGTAACAGTGAATGGAGCTCTCCGGCCTTGTCTCCGTGTGCCCAAGCCTGATGATAAAACCTTTCGTTTCGTGACTGATTTCAGAAAAGTAAATTCAGTTTCAAAATCTGATTCCTATTCGATTCCAAGGATAGACGATTGCATTGATAATATTGAGCAAGCAAAATTTGTGATCAAATTTGATTTATTAAAAGATTACTGGCAGGCACCTTAGACACAGAAAGCTAGTGAAATATCAGCTTTTGTAACACCAGACGGCTTATTTCAGTATACTGTCATGCCGTTTAGTATGAAAAGTGCTCCAGCTACATTCCAAAGAATGATGAATAATGTTATAAAAGATTTATACTACTGTTATGCTTATATAGATGATCTTATTGTATGTAGTGAAAGCTGGGAAGAGCATTTAACACATTTATATGATACTTTTGATAGATTGTCACAATCAAAGGAGTATGGCCACGAAGTGCCGATATTGGCCCTGTGGGGTGACAAAAAATGAAAGAGAAATAAGGTGGATCCTTTATAGCTAAAACATATCTACGTATATCGTTATTTGTTATCATAGTATAAAATCATATTTTTGTGACGTCATTAATGTGACGTAATACCCGAAATCAAACCGAAACGCTCAAAATGTCCAAATTCTTAAAGAATTTCACACTTCCTGGTTAAATTTCGCATTGGCCACAGGCCTCGACCAAAGTAATTTTACTCTTATTTTGATTGTTTGACACTTTGACTCAGTTTGCAACAATATTTAGCGTGGTCGAGGCCTGTGGCCACATCGAAAATTTAACTTTTGCTAAGAAGCAAATCCTGATTCAACGCCGCCATTTCCGAGGTACGATAGATTCTGTGACGAAATAACTGTACCAAGAACTTGTACAATTGCTTTAAATAGAATAATTTCTATGATTTATTAATTTCTTATTTATGACAAACAAAAAAGAAGAAAATGGAAAAACAAGTCTTTAAATTTGTTTTTAGCGAAGCATCGTTAACCGCCGATCCGGCGAGGTTTTTAAACACGGATAGATACGCCCTAATTACTGTTTTTTTATTAGAAAACAAGACAATTTTTTGGAAATAAAAATTAATAATTTGCAAATTATTTTAAAGTTCATTTCAACGTTATTTTGTAATAGTTAGCCCGGTCGCCCGGTCTGTGCTATGCAAACAAAATTATGACAGTTTCAAAATAGAGCCGTAGTTTTTTTTCCGTAAAATTCTACATCCAGCAGATCGATATGGGTGTCAACATAAAAATTAATACAAATTTCCTTTTAGATACACGT